TGAGGCGGCTTGGGACGTGGAAGCGGCCGAGCCTGGCCCGGAGACCGAGCGTGGAGCCGCTGTGGCGGCCGAAGAGCAGCAACCCCTTCACGCGCTCGCAGGAAGAAGACTGGCGGCGGCGGAACAAGACGGTCCTCACCTACGTGGCCGCGGCCGCGGTGGGCATGCTGGGGGCCTCCTACGCGGCCGTGCCCCTCTATCGGCTCTATTGCCAGGTAGGGGAGGCGCGATCAGGAGGGGCAAGGTGCTGGACAGGCTCCGGTCAGCCACCCCTGTGCGGGATCCTTTTGGAGGCTTGTCTCCGGTTATCCCCAGAGAGGAAGCGGGCTCAAACTGTGACTTCCCCCAGGTCACCAAGGAAGCAAGTGGAAAGGCTGCAGGTGGATCCCTAGGCCCCATAGTGATCGAGTTTGCACCACGCTGCAAAGAAGATCTGTGGCTGCACTAATGCATTCATTCTGCGAGCCACATATGGCCTATGTGGTAAATTTAATCCTGCAAACAAGTGTTCTGTACTCCTACTTGTGCTACTGGGGTTATACTTTGGATGGGTCATTTCATCCTGAGGCTTGAATTAGGCTATTCCTGTTAATATGTAACTATTATGTACTTACATTGAGCACTCTTTTAGGTCAAAAGTTGTAGTGCAGTGGTTCTGAGTGTGGTCCCCAGGTCATGTTGATTAAAGAGGATTCAGATTCCTGGGTCCAGCTCTAGAATTACTGAATTAGAAACCCTGAAGGGCGGGAGCCAGCAATTTGTAGTTAAGAAAGTACTCCAGCTGATTTAGAGGCTGACTGATGTTTTAAAAACACTGACAAAAGTCTAGTTTCCCCAACTTTATGGATTCCTTTGTTCTTTACTAGTGGTATGCGGCCTCGATTGGGCACTGGGTCACCTGTGAAGCTTCGTGCCCAGGTCACCTATCCTAGAAATTCTGATGAGAGTCTTCTGGGACCTGGAATTGCAATTTAATAGTCAAACCACAAGTGAAAGCTAAACATTGTGTCAATTCAGCGAGTATTGAAGATAGCGATTCCTAAATATTGTTCCACACTGGAGTCAGCTACAGAGCATTGAAAAATCCTTATGCCCAGCTTTGCATGGTGGCACATGCCTGTAATCCTGACTCTGAGGGAGGCAGAGGCAGGAGGATGCGAATTCAAGGCCAGCCTGGGCAACTTATCCAGATCCTATCTCAGAATTTAAAGTGAAAACAGCTGAGGATGTAGATGTAGCTGTGTCAAGCAAGGCTTTGGGCAGAATCCCCAGTACCCCCCATACCCCTCCAAAAAAGGTCCTCATGCCCAGTTTATAAAAGGCCTTACCATGTAAATCCCAAAGTTGAGTATGGGAGCCAGGTATCAGTGATTTCTCGATGTGCAGCCAAGTTAGGAAATCAATAGTTTTTCCATGACTGATATTTATAGCAGGGATTGACTGTTTTTCTGCCTGGCTTATTTCCCCTATCTTTATGGAGACCTATTTACTGTTCTTTTGGATGGTGAAGCAGTAGAAATCAAAGGGGCTTTGAAGTCCCCTAGTGTCAGTATTTATGTGGAATGTTCAATAACTTGATTTTAGGAGGAAGAGTGTGGAATGTGAGTTTTCTCCTTTGAGGCTAGACAGGACCAAATATAAACACCAAAGCTACTAGTTGGTTAGATGGTAAGTAGAACTGAATCCAAATCAAGGGTAGATTCTACTCAAACCACCATGAGCTGGAAGGAAGTGATTCTGTTCCCTCAGGGATCACTGCACAATGTTCGAGGACAATTTTGGTTGACAGAGCCTAGGGAAACAGAGGCATAGGGTGTTACTGGCATCTGGTGGAGAGTAGGGATGCTGTTAAATATCCAGCACTGCACAGGATGCACCACCCTCCCACACCCTCCTAACAAAGGATTATCCAACGCCAACTGCTGAGGTTGAGACACTGCTCCTAACTATTACAGTGAAGTTGTGTGTTTCTGCATTGCAATTGTAGGGCAGAAATTTAAGAAAAAGAATGTAACTTGTACTGCTAAAAATCAAATTGGATGCTTTAACAGTGATATTTCCATAAGAACATGTCTATTATTTCTGTAATCACAGAATTTTAACCCGGAATACAGAATTACTTACATAAACCACTTCATGCAGTGATTTCATTTTATGAGCATGTAAAATGTAACCCAAAGAAAGTAAGATTTATTCAATCAGTGGTCAGAGCCCCTTTCTGTTTGTTAATTTTAATTTCTTGAAGCACTTACCTTAGAAATTTGAAGATCTATATTCAAAAAAATACATAGTAAGGAATCTTGAGGAAGGGACAGTTACAAATTTTGTTATTCAAGTAACTCAGATTCTTCACAAAAAGGAATTACATCTCAAACATTGTAACCTTCTTAGGTAAAGGCATACCTACCTGTTAAACAAGGATGAAGACTTGTCCTCTGCATCTTCTAGGGTTGTACTATTATTCAGTAAATTGCATGGCAGTTGAGTGAAGCAAGGCGACTTGTGCAACAAGCAAGACAAGTAACATGTATTTTATTGGGAGTTTTCCCCTAGCCTCAAATTCTTTTTCCTACTTTGCTGCATAATAAGAGGTAAATTACCTGGAAATAATCAACAGTAATGAAAACAAGCATGAAGTGTATGGCACAATTATTCTGATCCGTTGACTGTGACAGGCAGTGACTGAAGGAGTCAAGTACTCCCTTTACCTGGTGATACTATAAAAGTTGCATTATGTAAACTAGTAAAGAACATAAAACATAAAAATACCTATGTGGAAAAATACTTATGCTGCCTCAGAAAAGCAAATATAAAAGTGAAACTACAAACTAATTTGGATGTTAAAAGATATAATATGGCAAAGGACCAGGCAGGAACATGGAAAAGTGGATACATTTTAAGTATTTTCATTGAAACGATCAGGTCATGAGTAAATTTTGTAGTGGTGTTTTTTTTTTTTTTGTGGTATTGGGGATTGAACCCAGGGCCTTTGCACTGCACTACATCTCAGCCATTTTTTGTTTTCAGAAAGGGTCTCTTTATGTCTCTTAAGTTGCTCCCTTTTATTTTTTATTTTCAGAAAGGGTCTTTAAAGTCTGTAAGTTCCCCAGGCTGGGCTCAAACTTATAATGCTCCTTGCTCAGCCTCTGAGAGGGCTGGGATTACAAGCATGTACCATCACATCTGGCTATATTTTATTGCTTTTAATGAGTAACAGTCAATTATACAATATTAGCAATAAAAAGGTATATTTAATAAAAAGCTATGCTTGAAATTCTGCATTCTATTATCAGTAATAAACTATTCATCTAAAGATTCTGCTTCTCCCAAATGTCTAATTTTTAACTCATTTTAACCAAGGGATTGCTGAAAAGTAGGAATCACTTTAACAAATATAAAATATAGGCCCTTTACACTGTAAAAGTAGGCAAATCGTTGACACAGTTATAGGAAATGGTGATAGTATGTATAATCGGATTATTTAAAAATTTTTGTTATCCAATAAACAGATCAGTGCCTGAAAGCCTTTTCACATATTTAGTATCTTTTTTTCTAGACTACTGGACTTGGAGGATCAGCAGTAGCAGGTCACAAATCAGACCAGGTTGAAAACATGGTGCCTGTTAAAGATCGGATCATTAAGGTTACCTTCAATGCGGATGTGCACGCCAGTCTCCAGTGGAACTTTAGACCTCAGCAAACAGAAATATATGTGAGTGACTAAAGCAGCCTCTGGAAGATTACTTGTTTCAGTGTAAAAAATGTTTTGTCACAAACTTTTTTCACTCCTTGAAAGTGAACTTCAAAATACAGATTCCATGAATAATTTATCTCAAGAACCTTAGATTAATCATGAATCTATTAGTGCTTTGAAATGACTACTTTTGATAGTGCTATGATGTTACAGAATATGTCCTTTACCCTAAGGTAAATGATCATATACTTAAACTAGTAAATGTGTTTGAAACAATGAGAAAGATCATGTTTTTATTATGGCTTCCCAGAATTCTCAAGTATAGATGATATATGAAGAATGTGAAAATAACTGAAAGGAAGGAAAGGAAATGGGGAAAAAAAGAGGAATTAAAATATATTATATACAGGTACAAATTCCCTATGATGAATATGATCATTATATCTAAAATGTACCAATAAAATTAACTTTAAAAATAAAAAACGATGACAACAAAAGTGTTCCTGTCCTCTCAAAAAGAAAAAAAAAATCAGAAGACTTTTTAAGCCTTTTTAATACTTACCTAGTATTAGTAGATGCCATATACCCCAGGACCACCTAATCTGTAACTTTTTTGGTACCAGGGATCGAACTCAGGACATCCTGCTTGTCAGACAGGCATTGTGCCACTGAGCTACATCCCTGGCCCTAATCTGTAATTTTGACTAACTGTATTCCTGGGAGGATTTTTAACTGAAATACTGTCATTAAGTGAGGATTAGCTGAGAAGTCTTAATTTAAACCCTTCTTGGAAAGCCTGTATAAATTATAGTACTTGTCAGTTTAGTAAATGTGACCGAGTCTTTAATGATTAATTTTATGAATTATGATTTTGCTTGTTAGGTCTAATTACCTGGTAGTATGTAACAGTGAATTAGTATAAATAGCAATATTCTTTTTTATTTTTTTACACCTTGTTATTTTTCTCGAAGCATTAACAGTTTTTGGTTAAGTGAAGATTTCTGCCCAGTTAAGTTTACTCATTATAAATTTAATTTACTCTGATCAAGTAAGTTTGATATTAGTATTCTATAAAAAAAAAAGTCAGTCGTAGTTATGCATAATGGTACACACCTGTAATCCAGCACGCTGGGAGGCTAAGGCAGGAGTGTCCTAGCCTAGGCAGTTTAGCAACTTAGCGAGACCTTGTCTCAAAAAGAGAGAAAAAGAAAAAAAAAAAAGGTCAATCTAACATTTAAAATGTCATAAAGAAGCTAGGCCTGGGCTATGCTATGCTTGGCTTGTCCTTAGACACATTTTAAATAACTCGCACATTACTGCTTGAAGACCTCAGATATGCAGGAGGATAACCTATAACTATGCATAACAGAACCCTGGTTCTTCATTGACAGGCAAATAAAATTTGAAACTTAGGTTTGTGGAATATTCACAATTTATTCTGTCAGTCTTTGTATTAGTTTAGATTATATGTTACAGACTGAAGAACAGGAAAAGAAATATGGCTGTAGTTTATTAGGGGCAGAAAAGTGAACTGTATGAGATTTAAAGTCTGATAATGGGTATATGTTTAAAACAGGTGGTACCAGGAGAAACTGCGCTGGCATTTTATAAAGCTAAGAATCCTACTGACAAACCAATAATTGGAATTTCTACATACAATATTGTACCATTTGAAGCTGGACAGTATTTTAATAAAATACAGGTAAACACAACATAAACATTATGTGCCACAAACTTTGACTAAAATCAATAAAATGAAAATGGGGAGAGGAGATCTAGAAATGGAGGGAAGAGAAAATAGAGGAAAGGGAAGAAAACGAATCAAGATATGTTAAATACATGTACTTGCTCCCTAAAATGAATGTAAATCTTATATACTGCAAACGTACTAATAAAAATAAAATACAGGTAATTCGAATGTAAGCTATTTAGTGTGAAACTAGAATGTCTTAGTAGACTTATAATTTCTGCAAATTCATTTCTTCTAAATTTCAAGCCACTTTCATCTTCACTGTTTATATTTGCTATACACTGAGAGCCAAGCCAAATTATTCTCTGCTTTTCAGATTAGTACTGATTTTTCAATCCTTAAAGTAAAGCTCGGTCAGAGATGAAAATACGATGTTATTCTGTCACAGAATTTGACCTCAAGAAGTGAGCTACGATTTTGTTACAGGTAACAGAAATGTTATTAAATGAGTACCTTTCTATGACTTTTAGTGCTTCTGTTTTGAAGAACAAAGACTTAACCCTCAAGAAGAAGTAGATATGCCAGTATTTTTCTACATTGACCCTGAATTTGCAGAAGATCCAAGAATGGTGAATGTTGATCTCATCACTCTTTCGTATACTTTTTTTGAAGCAAAGGAAGGACACAAGCTGCCAGTTCCAGGTTATAACTGAACCGGCATCCAAGTCCTGCATCAGCTTTGTGAGGTTTGAAAAATCATGTGTCTTGAATTCTCAGTGGAGAAATATTCTACAGGATGAATTGAAACCTGCTGTGTTAAATGGTTTTCTGGTGACTTCACCTCATTCAAAATTGAGAGAAAAGATTCAGCTTTTATCACAAGAAACCCATAAGCCTCTGTAAAGTATGTGATTGTTTAACAACATACTTAAAGAGTTTGACGGTTCAAAATAAAACAAAACTGGTGAAAACTAAAAGTGGAAGAGGAATCACTAAGCCCTAATGACTTGCTCAAAGATTACAAGCTTTTTTTCAGATTTGATATTGTTTTCCTTTATGATCTTAGGCTATTGTCCATTCAAAATACTGATTATAATTACTTGAAATTGCAGTATCATGAAATTGAAATAAAATGTAAGGCTGCTAGCATTTACCATCATAGTTCCAATTCGCTGGATGTGAAAATGTAAGGATAGGATTGTGAAGGTTTACTGATACAGAAGTAAAAATTCTGAGAACAAAATCCTGTAAAAAAAACCAAATTTATTAAATTATTTTATTAGTAATTTATTTGTCATTGCAATTTATGTAAGTGAATGCACAGTTTATTCAAAATGTTTACCAGTAGTCTTTGTTCCAAATAGAAATACTAATTATACTAAAAAGGAAAACATTTAGCATTATAAAGAATCCTATTTAAAGGCCATCTGATGCAAAGTCTAGTGATGTTTAGGGCACTTGAAATATAATCAAGCTACAATCTTCAAGTCTTTGTAACAATTCTAAATCAAAGTATTATTTATAAAGAAGTGCAAATTGACTTTTACATTCAATTTTAGTTCAATGAAGGCACTCAGTATTTTTCCTGAATAACACATTTAGTTTCTCACATTTCCGGCTTACATCTTCATCTACTTTTATCACAGCTATGGGATGATTTCTTTTCTACAAGCAAGAAGGCCTATGCATCGTAAGATACTGTGATTAAACTGGTTGGCCTGAGTACTAAGCCATTTTTCTTCTGTTCGAGTTTTAAGTCAGTATTTGTTACACCCATATGCTACTGAAGTAAGAGTGTTGTCAGGAACCATAACTATTACCCTGGAACTGTTTACACTTGTTTAAACCTCATGATGGCAGAAGGGAGGTGGTCAGCTGTTGCTTTCACTTGTTGGTAGGTCTTGTGCTTCAGGCTTCAAAGCTGGACAGGGACTACTCTTTAGGAAGCTGGTACTCCTGTGCTGTAGTGAGCTGATCATCACTTTAACCTAAAATAAAAAGAAAAATTGGCCAATCTCCAGCTGTTCTTTTGCACTCCTTAATACCTTTTCTTTGTCTTTCTCTACTCAGGGGCTAGAAAGTGGTAGTCAGGTTGACAAAGGATGGGAATGTGCTTTTTCTTCCATAGAGGAGGATGTGAAGTGAATAAATAAAATGAATAGCTCAGTGGTGACCAGGTATCCATTAGTTAATGAGATGACCAGTGCAAAGCAAATGTGAAAACTCAGACTTCTTTAGAGCACTAGCACTTATAGGTTCTATTGGTCGTATTCAACAGGTATTAACTTCATATTAAAGCCAAATGCCTGATTTCCATAATAAGGTCTTTCTGTTCATCTTTTTTTGTTTGCGTTAATATTTCCATGCCATAAATCAGTTTATGCATTCCCAAGCTTCATTATTTTTACCTAATAATTTCTAGCAAATAAAGAAGGTATTTTATTAGTTCACAATAGTAATTCATGACAGTTTGAGTGATTCTGTTTAACAATCTGTCTGATTCCGATGTCCCTTATGTATGAACCATAAATAGTGAGTACAAAAAAGTGATAATTACACTAAAATTATATGGGCTGTGGAATGAAATTTGTATAAGTTGAAACTTTTACCTCAACAGTCACTGTTATTTTGAGCTCCTTTGAGGAGATGAACATCAATTTCTTCATAAATAGCTCTAAAAGAAACAGAGTTATGTATCAGTTTCAAAGTTCTGAGATGCTTTGTAATTGCCAGCACGATAAAGAAAACTTTAGGGTTCTATGGGGAGGTCAGGTCAGGTGGCATCAGTGAACACAAAGGTCTTTGTGGATGGATTCTAGCTTTCTTAAATTCTGTTACCTTCCCATGGCATGTACCTTTCAAGAAAGATTCATTTGGGCTGGGAATTTAGTTTAGTGGTTCCACCGCCTGCCTCGCAAGCTCAAGGACCCGAGTTCAATCCCCAGAACCAAAAAAAATATTCATTTTCACTTTTGATTAAAGGAAAATTGAGGCTCAAATTTCGGACTCTTGGCTTCTTGCTTAAAAAAAATCATTCAGCTTCTAATTTCACAACAGTTTTTAAAAATATTCACATTCTAGTATATTTAACCTCTTGATAAATCTAGACTCCTGAGCAACCTTTAGACTGTAATTATCATCTTTGACAACCTACATTTTTTTCTGTAACACCACTGAACTCTTTATACTCGAATATATCTTATATAGGTCTGCAGACAGAAAACAGCTATACTTGAAAACATGACATTCACAGGCTTGTATGCAAAGCATGGCTGAAAAAAGGTCTTATAAAAATTAGAGCACTTTGAAAATGTAGTCACCAACTTCGTAGGGCCTCAGCATCATCTGCAATTTACTGTGTGTCTCTAAAAAGTTCTGTCTCTCATTCGCTATGAAATGATTACAACTTTCCCTCTCCTTAAGACCCTGATCTCTCTCAGGAAAAAGCTCTTAAAAAAATTAAACATCCTAAATGTGAAAACCGTCTCGTTTTACCATCACCAAATCTTCAAGTCTGTTTTCCTCTGTACTCTTCAAGCTTCTATTGCCTTATCTACCTGTGACTCCTTAAACACTTCTTTAATCATTCCTTCTTCCTGAATTTTCAGCCTCTACCTCTTAACTATATCCTGGCCTGCAGCTTTCATAGGTGTTCTAGTATGTTTCACTTACTTGTGACGGCAGTACATTCCTTCACCCTGTGTCTCCTTGCAGTAATCACATCAATAATATTCCAGTTGCCAGAGAGTGCTTCCTATTATCTCTTCATGTTTAAATTCTAGTAAGTTATACCTGTGTTTTTTGCCTCTAGTTTGGTTCCTTTTTGGGGGGGTGGTTACCAAGGATTGAACTCAGGACCTTGTGCTTGCCAGGTAGGCGTTAGGCTGCTAAGCTATATTCTTCGCTTTGAATTTTTTAATTCAAGTTCCTCTTTCATTAAATTTGGCTTCTGTCCCCATCAGTTCACCAAAATGACTTTTATTAAAATCACCAGTGATTTCCATGTTACTTAATCTATTATCTATGTTTAATTCTCAACCTACTTGTTCTCTCAGCAATGTTCATCACAATTTTACATTTACTTATTGCTTCTAAATTAGTTTCGATATCTGGTAGCACATTCTCTGGTAACTTTCTTTGCTCTTGGTTTTGGTACTTCCAGTTCTTTGAATCTGCCAAAACTCTTTCTTCTGGGTCTCTGTACAAGCTGTCTGCTCAGTCTACCATGCTCTTGATCCCAAACTTGTCACTTGACCAACAATGTCACATTAACCTTTCTCTAATCCCCACTTGAATTAGTTCTGTTATATACTCTTAAGTCACTATATTCTTTTATACCATTACCACAAGTTACAAATATGTATTTGCCTACCAATTTGTAGCCCAGGCTGACCTCAAGCAAGTTAGAAACTTCTGCCTCTGTCTCCTGAAGTGCTGGGATTATAGGCATGTGCCACCATGCCCAGCTTAATTTGCTTACTCTGTGATGACAGGGAATACAGTATGTCTCTTGTCCAGCATTATGAGTTAGGCAACAGTCATAGTAAGTATTCAATAAGTGACACTTGTGTGTGTATGTGTTCATGGATATATGTTCTACTGAAGCAAACTCAACCTGGAGTTCATGGACAGCCCGTTAAATGAAAACACCAGACTTTTTCAACATGTTCCTGTGCTTTTCCTCAGAAGTTTCCCAGATTTCATGAGACTTTCAAAAAAACAAAAACAATTAAAAAAAACCCCACAGTGGTAGAATTCCAAAGCTTCACTTCTCCACCGTCTCTACTCTACTAGCCCACTCTTTTTTTTTTTTTTTTTTTTTTGTTTTGAACTCAGGTCCTTGCGCTTGCAAGGCAGGCCACCGAACCGCTGAGCTAAATCCCCGGCCCTACTGTCCCACTCTTAGCACCTGTGATAACCACAGCTACTTAAAGCTATCTCTTAATTAATTTGGACATAACTTTCCCATTATCTGTTTGGATACAAAAACATAAACATGAAGTTCTAAAAAGCATACTTGTTGAGTACCCCTTTCTTTAGCCACTCAATGATACATCTACTTTATCAAGCAGAGGTATCTAGGAAGTTTTCATTATCTTGAGTTAGGAAAAATACCTAACAGACTCAAGTCTATCCACATTCATAAATTATTCCAAAACTGATGACTACATTGAGGATTTAAACTTAAAACATCACACGCCTACACATGCCGGGCAATGGCCACCTGGGGATCTGGTGGACCTAGTATATGGCAGAGGACACCTTGTGTAGAGGAGACAGTTACTACTCACCCAGACACTGCTGGCATGGAAAAAGCCAGGTCTGCTGCTGTCAGAGCATGCAAAGGATGGAGAAGTCTAAACTTTTAAAATTTTAAATATCTCAGTTTTTAACTGTTGGCAATTGTTAGAGTATACACGTTAAATTCTACAGAGGGAAACCAAAACACAACTTTGGGCAAGATACAGCCTGCAGGCTGCCAGTTTCCAACTTGCTTTAATTATCTAACAATCAAGGTTAACCTCAAGCCATTCAAGTATATTAAAGCATTAATGAGCCTACTCTGCCATATACTCAACTGATAAGAAATCATAAAACAATGATACTTTAAGGATTTCAGGTTAAAAAGCAATTTCTACACTAATACTTCATTAGTCCACTTTAAGTACACTGTTGTGGTGAAACAAAAACGTTCTTATGTGTAAGTTATCTTTTGATTTAGTTCTCCAAGGAGAGTTAAAATGTCCTATCATTGTGGCATTAACTTATTTCAGCCATCAGTAAACAGTGCTCTTCTCAAGCTAGGGAGAACCTGATTTTTCTGCCAATATATCTATAAAGACTCCATGAGTACACATACTGGTTCCAGTTTTTTAATGTGCAATCCTAGCATTTTTATTTTTTCAGTCATAGGCCAATAGCAGTAAGACCATTAAAAGAGCCCCGCCGCCAAAAAGCTTCATGAATTGTTTGCAATAAGACCATCAATTTCTGCTGAGACTTTAATAAAGTTAAATGTATAACCAAGACCTGAAAGCTCTTCTATCAAAGGTAACCAAGACACCAATTAATCATTCTGTAAATGACTTACTCTGTAGTGGCAGCAGGAGCTAAAGGATCAAACTCCATTACTTCATAGTAATTGGGTGGCTGATCATTCTTTGTTGTCGCTTGAAAGAGACCATAAACACACATGCTTATCAAGGTGTACACACGGCACTTTCTTATACTTAATATAATAACACTGAATTTAATTTAGACTTCAAATGCAAGAGTTTAAGAAATACAACCAAAACAAGCAGACTGGTGTTCTGATGCTTGTCCCAAGTTCACCAAATGCAGGTATAACGAAAAGATTTCCAAACTTCAACTAAAGGTTCATTTACCTTAGTGTTTCTTAGTGTAAATACATTTCAGTTCAAAGCTGGCCTTTTTATAATGTTGACCACAGCAGTATCATCCTTGAATACTTGGTGTAAGTTGAAAATACAATTGAGCTCCTCTAACTTCAATTTTTGATTACTAATAAATCACTTGCAGTTTCATATATTCTCCTGAGTTTCCTTATTGGATGCAATAACAAGGTCTAGTGTACCTTGTTGGTGATTAGGCAGGGATGGCGGCCCGTGGTTTGATGGCGTGGTTGTGACGGTCTGCAGACTAACTGGCTGTAGTAACACTGAACTTGAGTTCTGTGGCAACTGAAGAAAGCATAACACACATTCAAACATACACTGTGCATTACATGTTCTTTAAGATTACATTTCTAGGCTTCCAAGGGGCACTGTTCCAAGAACCATATACACTCAACTGGATAAGAACTAGTAATTTTAAAGCATTACTGTAAACTATTTAAAAACTAAGGTACTAAGTTCTTAAAAGATTTACTACTTCTTTGCCAAGTTTTTGTTTTTCCTGTTCAAGGTATTCACATTCTGCCTCAATTCACATGCTCACTTTGCTGTATTTCCCATATAAAATGCTTATACATATAAATATATACACATATGAATATATATATGTGTGTGTATATATGTATATATATATATAGTTTTTTTTTAAACTAAAACTATGGCTCAGTCCAGATTCTCTGTTGTTTCACTCAGAATGTGAATGCTTCTAAGAGGAAACAAAACAAAACAAAATCTTAAATCTACAGACAGGTGCACGGTGATACTATTAAATCAGGAGTAATAAAGATTAAACTCTTAGAAGTATTTATTATAATTTCCTCATTTGTTCCCTAAATTTCTTCTGGACAGTTACTAGCTGCAAGGCAACATTAATAAAGCATTAAATAAAACAGACCAAGTCCCTGCCCTCAATGCTTCAAAAACTAACTGATGTAAGTCATCATCAGATAGTACCTTCTATAGTAAAGAAAAGCAGGAAAATAGTGAGAAGAGTCTGGGCTGAGCTCCTGCTCTCATGGGCGGTGCTCAGGAAATGTCTTCCCCTGAGGACATTTAAACAGAGCCCGAACAAGCCCTGTGATATCAGAGACAACCCAAGTTCACAGGCTCTGGAGCGGGGAGTCCAATGTGGTTGGAGCCGAATGAGCCAAGGCAGAGGTGAGAGTGAAATTGAAGAGGTGATGAGTAGTCAGATCAGCATTTCAAGCTTTCACAGAGCAAATGAGGAAGGAAGAAAATCCTAACTGGGTTTTGGGCAGAAGGGTGATGTGCCTTTTCTTATTAAGGAGATTACTCTGGTTCTTCAGAGTAGACTGTGGGGTGGGGTGGGTGTAGGGGCAATGGTGGGAGGCAAAGGGTGAAACAGGGCAACCTTAAGTGCAGTGGCCATTACGGTGGCTTAGCCTGGGATGCCAAAGGGGAGGGGATGAGGAGTGGCTGGCAGCGGACATAATTCGAAGGAAAACGGAGGTCAAGCACTAGTTCCCAAGGTTTTCCACATGAGCAACTGAAAGAGTGGAGTGGCCCTTTACTCAGGCGGGAAGTCTGTAGGAAGAGCAGGCTGAGAGCAAGGACTGGGAAGTAATCAAGAGTTGAGACTTAAGCGGAAAGTGGAAATGTGAGTTCTGAGTTTAGGGAAAAGATCTGAGCCGGGAATGAGGACTTACAGGGTATGTGAAGGCTTATTTCAAAACACGAGACCAAAGTCTATGGATGAATGAATGCAGGAGTCTGAAACCTATGCCCTGAGGTTTCCAACACTGGAAGGTCGGGAGAAGGAAAGGCCAACAAAAGAAATGGAAGTGAGGCAAGACTGAGAGCTGCAGGGTTCTTATCCTACCCCCACCCCTTTCTGCTCACCCTCTCTCCCTACCCCTCCTCCTCTTTGTGTTGCTACTGGGGTTGAGCCACGACCTCAGGCACGCTAAACACATGCTCTATCCCTGGGCAGACACTCCCCTCCAGCCCAGGAATTATGATCTTTCACCATCTTTTAATATTAGTGAAACAACCTTTCTCTCCTAAGACTAAAAAGGAGACAAAACCCCTTCCGAGGGCAGTAGTGACACAATATGAAGAAATACTGAGCAGAAGATGAGAATTAATGACCAAGAAGAGTTCTTGTCGGTCAAGATAATCTGCTAGGTGCACTGGCAGAAAAGGGTTTACTTACATTAGCATATGTATGACTTGAAGTGAGGTTTTGGCTGGTCCTTTGGGGAAACCTAGGATAGTGTGACAACACAGCATGATTACCCTACAGCGAGAACACAAATGCAAAGTGTGAGATGACTTTCCTGGTCTAATATCAAAACCTGTAACACACCTTCAGAGTGCGCAAGAGCGGTAACTTTGCTATAACCATGGCCATCTAGTTTCCATGTTCTCCAGGTCATGATACCCAGGTATCAAAGAAAAACATCAAAGACATAAAGTGCCCTGGTGGGACGGGGTGGCCCTAAGACCAAGGGGTGTGTACCGTACAGTGATAAGCACTTTCATTTTCATACAGAGAGTACCACGAGGAATCCGAATGCTCACTGTGGAAATCCTACTTCATCCTCTTCTGTCTTACATCCCAAACCCGAGTAGTTCCTAGGTGGCTGTGGGACAGCAATGACAACAGTCATCTTCAGATTAAGACTCAGAGAAATCTTCTTCAGCAGTTGGTGGAGCTAGGGCCTTGTTCTCCCTTTTAGGTCTTGCCATTTGATCTTGGACACCAGCATGGCCGAAGAAATACATGGTGCACTAGGGTAACTAAAGCTTTAGTTTGTGACTGGAGAATTGAGAAGGGAGCCCAAAGAAACCAAAAAGTACCAGAGAAATCACAAAAGTTGAAGAATCCAGCAAAAGAATCTCATAAGTTGTTTATGAAATCCTGGGCTTAACCTGTTAAGTCTATGAAGTGGATCTAAAATGAGAAACCAAAAATGCTGAGCGCTGAACACACTGTTACCCAGACCTCAGATTATCCACTGGGTGTCACACAGGTGGGACGGATTTGACTAACACTGCTGAGGCTTTTAAAATTGTGCTGACACTGGAACGACAACCCACCGAAGCAGGCTAAAACTGTGGCATTAATCTAAGCAACTTGTTAGCCCACTACAAAAAAACAAAAAACAAAACAAAAACCAAAACCACAACAATAACAACAACAAAAAACAGCCAGGACAAGATTTAACTATGACTACATACCTCATAATAAAACACTAGAAATGCCCATGTTAAATATAATCTGAAATTAGTAGGCATAAGAGGAACAAGAAAAATTTCAACTTGCATTAAGAAAACAATTAACAGATATGGATGCAAGAGCATACGGGTGGGGTGTTAGAATCATGGAAGCAACAGGGAATGTTCCTGAAGGAAAAAAAAAAAAAAGGGACATCTCAACCACAGAAACAATGCAATATATAAAGAACCAAATGGAAATTCTAAAATTGAAAAAGTAATTGAAATTAGGAATACTAAATCTTCTAGGATGAGCTCAGTAGCAAAACGGAGAATACAGAGGCAACAATGAGCTTGAAATGCACAGATGTTATCAAAATTAGCCATTCTGAACAAAAGAGAAAAAAGGGCTGGAGATGTAGCTCAGTGGTACTGCGCCTGCTTGGCAAGCAAAGGGTCCCGAGTTCAAAAACAGAGAGAGAGAAGCAACAGGTAGACTGATGTGATAAACACCTGAGGTTAAATGTTTTATCAGAGTTCCTGCATGACAGTAATAGTGTGCAGTGCTGAAAATATACATATATTTGAAGAAATACAGGCTAAAATCTTCACAAAACTGGTGAAACACATAAACCTAGATTCAAGAAGGCATTCTTCACATGCCTAGTAATTTTGGATTGTATCTAGTGTACGGCTGGATTAAATGGTAAACCCTCCAAGATATGCCCAGGTCACAATTCCCAGGACTTCTGAGTATTATTTGGGGGGGGGGAGACAGGGGAGGGGGTTCCTCTTGCAGATTCAGTTAAGTTTATAGTTTTAAGCTATAGGCTATCGTCCCATATTATCTGACTGGGCTCTAAATCCAATGATGAGTCATCTTAAAAGACAAAGGCAGAGGGAGCCCTGAAATACACAAGGGAGAAAGCCCAAAGAAGGTGGAGGCAGAAACTGGGGTGATGTATGAACAGGCCAGTGAGGCCAAGGAATGCCAAGTCACCAGAGTCTGGAAGAGCCCCAGCAGATTCTCCCCTAACAATGGAGAAAGAACTGAATTTCAGACTTCTTGTCTCCAGGACTATGAGAGAATAAATGTTTGTGGTTTTAAAGTTGGTGGTAATTTGTTATGGTAGCCCTAGGAAACTAATATACTCAGCCAAGCCCAAACAAATAAACCAAAAGAATTCATGCTCAAACTTCACAAACTGCTCAAAATCAGAAAGGAAAAAGGCAGCCAGAAAACACAACACATTGTCTAGAAAGAAATGACAGCTGAAATCAACGTAGACAGAGTTCTCCATTTAAGCCAGAATAGTGGAGCCACCTTTCAAATCTGCTAAAAGAAAAGAGCTGTGAACTCAGACTTCTGTATTCAGTGAAACCACTCTTTGGGAACAAAGATGAAACAATGACATTCTCACACAAAAATAAAAACGAGAGATCCTGTTGCTGATAAGCCTATTCAAAACTGACTGCTGAAAGAACTTCAGAGAGAAGGTAAATTATATCAGAAGAAAGCAATGCGAATGGTAAATGTATAACAGACTATTCTCCTCTTGAGTTCTTTAAAATGTCTCTGCAAGTTTCAAGCAAAATTATAACATGTTCATTTGGTAGTTTTTCCAATATATAGAGATGTAACATAAAAGATAAATATAAAGAGGTGAAATCTAACTGATGATAATGTTTCCGGATTTCACTTCGAATGGCTAAACATTAAGTAGACCAAAAAGTTAAGTATATTATAATCACCACAATTGGCCTATATAAATATATATATATATTATATTATATAAACTATATTATATATATATAATAAAGATACAGTGAAAATCACAGCAGATAAATTTAAGTGGAATTATAAAAACATTGTAATGATCCAAAAGAAGTCAAGTGGAAACAGAAAAAAGACAGGAAGCGAATTAAAAAATGGTAGACCTCAGTCCAACATAAAATTACATTAAATGTAAATGATCTAAACACATCAATTAGTAGCCAGAAATTATAATACAAAAACAATATGGCCCAACTATGGACTAACTACAAGGAGCTACAATTTTGACATAAGTAAAAAGAAGGAAAAAGATATGTGAGAATGTTGATCAAAAGAAAGCTAGAGTTTACACATATAATAGAATCAAAGGCAGAAAGCAAGGAAATTACATGATAAGGGTTAATGCACCAATAGAACATGATACTCCCGAATGCATATGTACTTGATTCCAGAGCTTCAAAATACATGAAGCAAACACCAATTTGACACAATCTCTTCCAGAACAATTACACACCCAATGATTCTATTTAGATAGCATTTAGATACAAACTATATTGACAGGAACAGATTGGATGTTGCCAGGGATTCAGAGATAGGGACAAGAGGGTGTGACTATAAAACACTGCATGAGAGAGTTTAGGGGGTTCACCAGGGATTCAGAGATAGGGACAAGAGGGTGTGACTATAAAACATTGCACGAGAGAGTTTAGGGGGTTCATGAGGGGGTAGATTGACTTCTATAACCTGACTTCAATGAGTTACATGATTTCTTTATATATGTTAAAATTCCTAGAACTGTGCACCAAACAAAACAAAAAAACTCCACAAGGTCCATTTTACTATATGGGAGTTATTAAAATGAAGTTAAAGTAAAAAAACAAAAAGCAAAACAAAAAAAACAAATGCAGGTACTAATATCAGCTCCATGGGAGGGGCAGGAGGATTTCAAGTTTGAGGCCAGCTTGGGCTACACAGAGATACTGTCTCAAATTACCAACAAGAACAAAAAACATCAGATCCATTTGAATTTGAATCCTGTTTCAGCACTAGCCAGGCAACCAGTGGTAAGTTCAGCTTCCTCTGCCTTGGTTTCCTCAATAGTCAAGTGAGACAGGATGGTGGTCCTATCTTCACAGCTTACTAGAAACATTAGTGAAACATCAGCAAGCATTTCCTCTCAGTCTGTCGCCTGATGCTAAGTGGGTATATAACCTATGTCTTTACCCCATTATCATAAGGACCCTTCCTGTTTTGGATAATTATAAAACTCACTTGTTCTTGGCATGGTGAAAAAATTAAACTACAAACACAAGAGGAGTAGACAAATCTCAGGACCACATAACATTTTAATGGCGGATTCTGCCTCTTATGTTTAGTCTTTCGCACATGCTTTGGCTCAGATATCTGATGCTATGTGTTTTTTGTTTTTTTTTTTTTTTAAGCCAGACATGGTGGCACAAACTGTGAAATCATCCCAGCATTCTGGGAGATTGAGGTAGGAGAATCCCAAGTTCAAGCCCAGCCTGGGCAATTTAGTGACAATATAGTGAGAGTCTGTCACAAAATTTTTTAAAAAGTTCAAAAGGCTGGCTGGGGGTATAGCTCATTCCTAAGATGCTGAGTTCAATGCCAAGTATTGAAGAAGAAAAAAAAAAAAAGAAATCCCTAATTATAGTTTCATTTTATCCATCTATACATTTCTATAAATTAATCTAAAAAGATAGTCCAGAAAGCAAAAATGTTAGATTCTGCAGATTGTCTTTCATCATAGTGAAATCCAAGAACCATTGTAACTGTTTTAACATCTGCATCTTGGGGTAGAGGCTTCTAACAGGGTTTATGATTGAAAAAGCACTGCTTTGCAATTTCCTGGCATGCTTATTAAAACTAAAGATTCCCACTACTGAATCAAAATTCCTAGGGGCTAGCAATTTCACATTTTAACAGTCACTCAAGTGATGTTTCTGCATAGCAAAGTATGAAATCTACTGAACCAAAGATTAAAATAAAGCACTACTGGGGAACGAGGGCAGGAACAGGGGATGGAAAAAAGAATTAAGATGTGTCATATGCATGTACCAAATTCCCATGATGAATGTAATCGTTATGTAGTACAAACATGCACTAGTAAAAGTTAAAGTTAAACTAAAACAAACTGCTATTAACTAGAATTATTTTCTTACTGAGTTTTATGGAGACATTTGTTGTAATTCAATGTTTATCTGTATTACTCAGTCCTTCTCATAGTGTCCAGCTAGATTAGCAGGATAACCAAATTGCTATTTTAGACATTTTTCGGCTTTGCTTTTTTGAATTCCCAGTGTAATTCTTATTTCTTATTTTGGTTCCTATGGCCCATCCTCTTTGAAAAATAGAAAAGTGAGCCAGGGATTGAGCTCATGGTTCTGCCACCTGCCTCCCAAACACAAGGTCCCGAGTTCAATCCCCGGTACCACAAAAAAAAAAAAAAAAGAAATCCTATGATTGGGTATGTAAGTGTTTAATAAAACACTAGGCAACTTTTTAGAAGATCTGTATTGATTGCTACAGAAACACTGCCAATGTGTGTTAAGTGAAAGACAAAAGCAAAATTTAGAACAGTGTAATCGTATGCCACATTTTATTTGATAAAAGAGAAAAAATAATATTCACAATTACCTTAAGACACTTTGAAAGGAAAAATAAGAACCTAGCAAAGTGATTACCCAGATGGAAGTAGGGTGTGAATTAGGGGAAGGGAGACGGGGGCGTGGGTGAAAGGGATAAGATGAAGAAGTGATTTATTTATATGGAAAAGAGGCTTTGTCATAGGCAAACTCCAATTGTTTTTTGTTCTATTTATTGTCTCCTGCCTCACTCTAAACTTAAATCACTGCTCTTTTTGGTTTCTTCTGCAACCTTCCTACTTTTACTTATGCAAACAGAGGCACATATTAACATATATGCCTTTTTCTCATTTTCTTACACACATGTATTATCATATTCAGACTGGAAAAGAGGCTTTGTCATAGGCAAACTCCAATTGTTTTTTGTTCTATTTATTGTCTCCTGCCTCACTCTAAACTTAAATCACTGCTCTTTTTGGTTTCTTCTGCAACCTTCCTACTTTTACTTATGCAAACAGAGGCACATATTAACATATATGCCTTTTTCTCATTTTCTTACACACATGTATTATCATATTCAGACACTAATTTGTATCATTTCCCCCCACATAATAATAAATATATTGGTGGTGATCTCTCACGCAGCCTATTTCTTTCCCTGACCTGTACAGTAACACATTACAATGATGTTTATTTAACCAGGCCCACATCAGTGGAGTCATTTACATCTATTTGCTATTGCCTAAAATGTTACAAAGAATAATCTTATACATATCTGATTTTGTGTGAATGCAGTGTCTTAGAAATAAGGCTGTAGGTACAAAGGTAAAAATATAATTTTAGTAGATGCTTTCACTCGAGCATATGAGAGTGGCATGACGTTGTGACAGCGTTGTGTCTGTCTTTCCATAGCCAACAAAACCTACTATCAAACATTTGGACTTTGCCAGTCTAAGCGCTAAAGACAAAATGCTTAACTATAAGGAAAGCTGAGTATCTCTGCATAGGTTTGTAGGTCATTAATATTTCTGTTTTGGTGATCTATCAGTTCAGACTTCCTATGTGAAGTCTGGCAAGTTTTCTTCTGTAAATCTCAGGCTCTCCTCCTGTACACTACAAATAATGATTACAACACTGACCCAAGTACTCCTATGGGGATTATATGAAATGAGCCAAAAAATTATGGAGCACTTTGTATGTGCCAGGAATTTCATGAAACTGGCGTGGCCATCACTCTTAATGATTTTGAACCTTGCTTATCTTCCTCCACCTCTGTCATTATATCTCCCCTCTGTCCTGTTGCCCACTAAAAAAATAAGAGAGACAATTTATTGAAAGACGATTATATACTAAGTCCTGTACTAGGAATTTTATATACAGAGTTCATTCTCCTAGAAAGTATTCTGGAAGAAAAGTGAAGATTCACAGTGGCTAGGTATCTCATCCCAGCAGAAAGCAGTGTTGAGGTCCTAACTCAGGTCTGACTGATTCTTAAATCTCTCCTTTTTTGCAATATGTCACATTTTCTTAAATATAAGGAATCAGAATGCCATGGTGTTAGCTCTGCTGTTGTTACTGGTATACTTACAGGGTTATTTCTGTATTTTCCAAGGCTAACAAGTCCACATGTGGATAAAGACTGGAATTTGAGTTGTTTGTTACAACAGGACTTGGAGAGCTGAAACCTAAAACACAAAATGGCCTTTTTCGGTTTTAAAACATTTCTTTCAATCAGTTGTTATAATGAATTTTCCACGGTCAAAATCAGAATCAAAGGCATTAATTTAGATATTTCTGTCACCATATATAGAACATTTCCCCTGAGACAGACTTAAAAGTAGTATTTACAGCAGGGGGAGACACACAGACATTCCTTTCCATAAAAAGAGGTTGTTGTAAAGGAAACAAATAGTATTGAATTGGATTTTCTGAAATCTCAAATGGATTCAGAATGGAAAGGATTTTGTAATTCAGCACAAAAGTAAAAAGTTGTGGTTTACACAGAGCTCTACCCTCTCCTCAGAGTTCTTAAATTCCCATTACTTAAGTGAAATACCAAAAGGTAGTAATTATCCCCTCTATGTAAATTCCTGATGAAAACACAAGAAAAATCTCCAACGCAATTCATTCCATACATCTCACTGCCTTACATAAGCAACAGTCAATATTTCAGAAGTGAAGAAAGCCATTAGAAAAACCAAAAATTTAGTGGTTTTAGTTCTGGAAACAATAGATAATGTAAGACAAAAACAAAGTGATTTTAGTTTGGTACAACTGGAGTTTAGCATTTTTCACTATCCTTATTTTAGAATTTACCAATACTTTTGGGGGAGGTAAAGGTAAAAGATAACAAATAAGTTAGATGAGACAGGTACCCCCAAACCAACAATGTTATAAACATTTTATAAACATTATTTCATTTACCTTCATTGCAACCTATTAAGGCAACAATTGTTCCCATTTTATAAAGTAAGAAAGTATGAATGGTTAGGGGCTAAGAGGTGGCAGAAATAAGACTTCAGTTTTGACTGACTCTGAAGCCTGTTTTTCTCTTTACATTTCATCACTGCGTGGATTATGCCTCATAATTCCTGAGTATCTCTATCTGCATCAAATATTCCCTTACCTGATCCTGTGGGATAGCAGAGAAACCCAAAGATAACAACAGATAGTGCGTGGGTTCAGAAGAGATTTAGGTATTGGTTGGCAAGCTGGAGAACTTCTGCAAAGCAGGCCAGCTCAATTCCCTGAGATTCTAAGACAGAGGGATGAGTTCCAAAGACTTCCTCCCCCAGACACACCCTGTTCCGTTTCTGTGCTGTTTGACCCCACCATTAGCCAGGAAGTAATTACGTCTACTGATAGTGTTTTCTGATAGTCAAACTGATTTCTTTCCTTCTCTGGAGCCATTTCATCATGAAATCAAGGAGAACTGTTTCACATAAAACTCTTCTGCTGGTCTGAAAAGGCCCAATTACTTATTTACTTAAGTCTGAAAGCTGAGCATTCATGTTGTTGAAGTATCCCTGAGTGGCTGAAGGCATCAGGGGGCTAGGACTCAGGTCAAGGAGATCAGGGGATGGAGCAGAAGGCTCCCTGGAGGTCTGAAAACAAAGCAAAGAAAAATGCAATTTAGGAAAACAAAACAAAACAAAAAACAAGTCATCTAATGTATCACAGTTTTCTCCCCAGAGACTTCACTGGAGAGGAATGGATCCTATCCATATACATTTTTGAGGAAGAGCTCTCCATTCAACAGGCAGTAACAGTTTGTTACATCTTACCATCTACATGGCTTCCTTAATTTAGAGACCTTAAGATATCTTGAGACAAACATTCAAGACCATCAAGACCACTTCATATTGTCAAAGCATGTATTTTCTCTTCTACAATGTATGTATCTTCTCTCTTCTTTCAGGTAAGCCTTTCTTTTCCTATGCAATTGGTAAAACATTTCATTGTTTCTAACATTTCTAGTCACTTACATTGGTAGCTCCATTCTGGCTCTTATTTTGCTCCAAAAGTCGTTGTTGGTTTCGAGTAAACCTGTTGGATTTAGCAAAATGCATATTCTTAAAGAAGACAGACAGGAAAATGCTACAAAATTTAAAAAATTTTAAATACACAAATATTTAGGAATGATGATAATGGGCCTTGTCTCAATTCAGTATCTGGTGAAGTACTATTAATAACTTTGTCCAGGCTATAGAACACTAACACTCTTAAGAAAAAACTGAGGAAACAGTGAAGTCTTTTTTAAATTAATAATTCATCACTCAGAAAGTAATACTGTGTTTAATAACAATGTTTATTTCCTTCCACTAATACTTGTATAAATTACTCTGCTTTTAAAATTTAGTTGAAATTATACTTTATATAACTGTACACCCTAATTCAATGATGTGAGCATTTTTCTATTCCAAACTACAACTTTTCATGGCTATTTTTTTAACCTTATGAATCTCTTACATCTTTAGCCATTCCTCTTATTCTTAACTAAGTTCTCAAATGATAAATTCTTACTTTGCCTCTATTAATAATTTTCCATAAAAATTTGGATACATCTTTAGTAATTTTAACGCTTCACTGTTTATCTTCTTTTACTAGGCTTCTTGAGACCTATGAAAAACATTGGCCCTTTCCCCCACTGATTTAATTTTACACGGCTTGCCCACTAAGCATAAAGGCAGAACATTTAGATAAGTAGAACAGTTGTGAATCTGAAGGTAGAATTCCAAGGTTCCCGACACAGCACTATCGCCTAGCAGCTACATGACCATGGATACAAATTCCTGAGTCTCAGTTCTCTATCTGCTAAAGGGGAATAACAGCACCTGAGCCATTTCTTCAGAAACTTATTTTCAGGGAGAAAGACAGATCTACAGATGGTAGAGGGAGATGGATGTGGAAGTGCTTTGCAAACTCCCAAGTTTCTTCAGAAACACAGCGTTACTGTGTAACACACTGGCTCCAGGCCTCTAAATACTAAAGTCTAAAAGCTTATACTATACCAGAACATGCACTTGGGGTTTAAGAATTTTTCTAAAACATGCTTTTCATTTACATCTACTTACAGATTGGCTCCCTGTATGCTTGTCAGTTACATGGCAGGTGGCATGAACGACCTTCCCACATCAAGCCCCAGGTGACCTCAAATTCTATTCTTGATTTACACAGCTATTCCTTGTGTGTGATGGTAGAGATTCCTGGAAATGTTGGAATCAGGCGAGTATATTTTGTTTGGGGGATAGAGGTGAATCTTTGGGGACAAGAGGGCAGACTAGGATGGGCAGAGTAATGCCCCCCTTGAAAGATGTTTGTATCCTAGTCAACAGAGCCAGTGAATGCATTAGGTTAGACGAGAAGAGGGAATTAATGTTTACAAATGCAATAAAGTCTGCTAGTGAGCTCACTTTAACAGAGAGATCATCCTGGACAGTGTAGATAGAACCCAAAGCAGCCATACAAGTTTTTGAATATGGAAGAAGACAGAAGAAGAGTGATCATATATAAGAAGGTCTGAGGCAGACATCGGCTTTGAGCATGGAGAAAAGGGGCCGTGGAGACAAGGGAAGTGGGAGTTCCTCTTGAAGCTTCAAAAGGTAAGCAGATGGAATCTCCTGTGCAGCCTCCAGAAAGACACGCAGCCCCACTGACACCAAGTTTAACCCAGCGATACCACTTGAGACTTGTCCGGGTGAATTTAGTTTATTATCTTATGATAATAAATTTTGTGCTGAAACCACTAAACTTGTGGCAGTTTGTCGCAGCGCTTACCATAAACTAAAATACCATAAACAATTATCTTTTCTAACGGCAAGAATTTCTCTCTGAATCTCAGGAATTAAATGTTTCTAACACAGGACTTACCATGGTCACTTTGGCAACACATTGTTTAACGCTGCACTAGAACAAGCCATTCACGGAAATAATCCAATTTCCTGATGTCTCCCCTCTCAGGGGAGGCCTTTAGGCAGCGGTCTTATGGTTTGCAACAGTATTGCCCCAAATGAAAACCAGAAGGCAGCATTATACTGAACAACATGTGGTTTTCTTGGCTATTTTTCTCCTTACAAAGATTTATACCACAAAAAAGAGCAGCAGAGATTGTGAGTTTGTTCACTGCGAAGAAAGAGCAGGCCTACTGGGCTCATATCAGTCAGTGCCTTCTCTTTTTTCCTGAAAAACAGTTTCTGTCCATAATAGGCAATGAATATGGGATAGTTAAGGAAACATACTACATTTTATAGCTACGGGTTTCATCTCATTGGTCCTCCTGGTTCACTCATGATCAGCAGAAAACCAAAAACCGAAGACAAACCAAACCAGCTAACTAGTCATTTAAAATGATCAGAGGAACCTTAGTTGGGAAGAGGACAAAGAAAGTAATTTTTAATGGGCATTGATATGCTAGAATCTGTTAGGTATTTTCAAGCACATTATCTCATTTAATCCTCAAAAAATATTTTTAAACCCATAACCCCTCCAAATAGTTATTTTCTTTAATAAAAAAAACACTAAGTCTTAAAGATATTGTGCAACTTATGAGAAACCATCAGCTAGATTTGAATCCAGGCACTTACACCTTTTTCCTCTTACATCTGACTGGTCTCACTCTTTATCCACCTGTTAAAATGTAGCTGCTATGCAATTCAACACATCCAGTTATTCTCAGCAGGGATGGTGGTTCTAACGATGTCTAGTAAGTCACTTTAGAATGAACACCTCTGGCTTTCAGGGAGTGTAGCCCTCACAAGGGAGAACTGTACCCCAAATGCCACTACTATGGAGGAAAACTAATCTAGGAAAAGCATTCTTTGTGGGCATTCTGTGCTAATTAATCTTAATCGTCAACTTGACTAGATTAAGAAACTCGCATAGGAGTGACTGGGATCATGGGGATGCTATGTGGATTAATTCACTAATGCTCATAACTGAGTGTGCTATCAGAAGGTGGGGCCAAGGTGGATATGGGTCACTGCGGACATGCCTTGGGACAAGTAGATCCCTCCTCACCCTGTTTCCCAGCTCTGCTTTCTGGCCTTCATGAGCTGAGCAACTCCAGCTTGCTATACCTTTCCAACACAGTGTTCCTGCCTTAAGAGTGAGCAGACCATGGATGGAAACTGCTGAGACTGTAAACCAAACTTCTCTCTTCTCCTTTAAGTTGCAGGCGTTGGGTATTTTGTTCCAGCCACGAGAAGCTGATCGATACATACCCTAGCAGAAACACAACGAATGGTGACACACCAACTACTCACCTCTCATAGCCAAGAATGGCATTGTTCAAATCTTCATTCACTTGAATTAGCTCAATGGTTACATCTTCATTCTCCACCACCACAAGCAGGTCCATGATCCTCTCCTGCATCTCCCGACCCGTCTTATAAAGTTTCTGTCAAGAAAGGAGAGACGTTTCTTCTTCCATGTTAAGAATGCTTTTTAAGACAACTGACTCTCCGGTCTGGGTACATCTGAAATCACCTCCAAGCTGATTCACCTATAGGAGACCACCAAGGAATTCAACTGTGGCAGCTGATCTTCCCTGTTGGAAGGCAGTGAATTACACATACTCCTGTTTTTCTCTATATGTGGGAATTCCAAAGGTCCTGCTGACTAGCTGCACCACACTGGGGAAGAAAGTCATTTGCTTTCTAAATCCGTTTTCTCACTGATAAATGAAAAACAACCACTTGCCATATCCACCTCAAGGGTTGACATAAAAATCAAATGGGATCTACGTAATGAGGGACTCCACAACTACAAAGCATAAACGTAAAATGTTACTGTCATTAATTAGTGATGGGTAGAAGGAGTAGCTTAAAAACTTTGACAGGGGCCTAATTTTATTCCCAGTTATGCTGTACTTAAACATTTAAAGTTTATAGCTATATCACATTCCAATGTAAATGGAACCAGGATTTAAAAGCTAATCATGGATAATAACTTCTTTTGGTCTACTCAGAATCACTGCATCAGGCCAGGATGCCACCCCAAAAGCTTTTACTCGTAAGCATCAGAGGCCCCAAATGATTCAGAATCTCCAGGGATAAGGAATTGGGTGCCTACATTTATTAAACAAGCACCCTAAAGTGCTCTTATGTACACTGACAGTTGAAAACTGTCTCCTTACAACTGACCTCCTTCCAGGCAAACCTCCAATAAACTGGAGGTGGGTCGAATGAATATTAATATTTCCTCTACCCCATCTAGCCTTCAATTTGTCCTTATAATAGTACACTAGCATAAGGCAAAAGCACAGGGACATTTCTCTTCTCACAAGGAAAGCAGTGGAGCTCGCTGGAACCTCACACAATTACATTATCTGACTTTTTTCCCTTAAGAAAGAAAGGCTCGCTGAAAAATTCATGCTGCATGAAACCATTTAGAATCTAAACACTCTCTTATGAGACTCCTGACAGGAAATCTCTAAATAAATAAATCAAACCATTACTAACTGGCATTTAGACTCAGAGGTAAAAGCCACTACACCTCCATGAAATCATGAAAATATTTAAAGACAAAATGAAATAAAGAGGGTGAAAAAAAGGCGAAGTAGGAAAATAGATGACAGACTAGGTTTTTACACTTGCAACTAGCGTCGAGGAAAAATGGTTCTGTCTGCTAAGTACATGGCCATATCAGCAATGGTATAGAGGGGAGGTGCAAGGATCAAAGTTTGTCTTACAGCTCCAGATAATAAGTCTTTTCTGTTGTGTGCGCCACTCACCACTGTTGCAGCTACTCAACTCTGCCACTGTAGTGTAAAAATAACCTTAGACAATATGTAAACAGACAGGTGTGGCCAAACATTAATAAAGCAGACAGGCAGAAAGCTAGGCAAAGGGAAGAGACCTTGGACTAGGTAGAAATGGTGCCTCCAACGTATGTGCGTACTTGCTAAAGGACAAAGAAACAAGGCTAAAACTTAACCTTAGGCTTGATTTCCACCCCCAATCTACAGTACAATAATAACAACTATCTTTCAGGGTTGTTGTAAAATAGGAAATGGTGTTATCCGGAAACCCCTACGATGCCTAACATCCAATGCGTAATCTATAAAAACACTGAGCTATTTAAGGAGAGGTCACCCCAAGCTCATCTAGATAATTAATATAATCATGGAATACTTGCACTATTACTCCGGACCCAATATCATGCAAAGGAAAAAAAAACAAACAGTATTTTATACAACTCCCCTGATGAATGAGAACATTTCCTTTATTCTCCTTTCAGAGTGTACAGAAATTATTCCTCTTGTTGCCCACTGGCAGCCTTACTGGAAAAGGGTCAAGATCAAGGAAATACAATAGGTGTCAGATATCTGTGACCAAAATACAGAAATTAATTCAAAATGAATTTGCAGCCAACATCAATAACCCACGGTCACATAAGACCTTCCCTTTGCCCTTTCAAGAGACGGATGGAATGGAAACATGAAAGAAGCAGCACATCTTTCGGCGGGCTTGCGAAGCAGAATGTGAAAACTCTTCAAAAGCCAGCCCACTCTTATCTTTGCAATTGATGTCTGTCTCAGAGGAGGACCACACCACCTGGAAACAGTGAAGATCAAGCACTGAGGACAAAAAGGATGGGTCAGAGTTCCCCACAGCAGGCACCTGTGAGGCTGTGGATGTGGGGAGCTGTGGGAGGCTGGGAGGAACAAGTCAAAGCACAGTGACAGCTGCTAGTGCGTGTGCCCATCACAGAGCCCCGGAATTGCCTCCCGTTAGGCCAAGGCAGGCTTCTGCATTAGAGAACATTTAACAGTCAATCCAGAAGGCTCTGGAGCAAAATAAAGAGGGGTTCATTAAGAGTGAGCTTCCTCCTCCTCCACCAATATCTGTATGACAATACTCCTATTTCTTGGCTTTCACATTATTTCCTCTCTTCCAGTTCTCCCCACCCTTACTGCACAGGGACAGTCATGGAAACCCATAGAATGGCTCCATCCCCTCAAAATAAAAAGCATCTCCTCCCCACCCTGAAACCGAACATTTATCATTGTCTGTCTCCGTACACACACCTCTGATGAAGAAGGAATCATCAACGTAAATCTCCAGATCATTAACTTATGAGAACCATTCATTGACTTTTTTCTCCCCACTTAATATTGTCAACATTTTATTCTCCTCATGCCGTTTTCAGTAAATTTTTTTTGTCATAAGTAAACTCTTTTGCCCTAATGTTAATTCTTCAATAAAAAGAATCAAACCATTTGACTTAACAGACCTTTAATAAACTCATTCAGTGTGCAAAGCATAGACTATAAATATGCATAATTGTATGAAGAACTGAGAGGATTTAATTGCATGAAGAACTGAGAAGATTTAAAAGGACAGGCTTTGGTGACTGCCTTTATGTTGCTTCCAAACTAGTGTTAAGGGCTAATTCACACCTGGAGGAAAAAACAAGAGAGTAGCCATGGACACTAGGTTGGCCCTGGGTTTGCAATGAGAAACGAGTTGGTACTTTGGGCAGAACATAAACTTAGGGCAGCAAAGTTCTCATTCCAGCTCCATTACTTGCTACCATATGGGCAAATTACCCCTTTCTGAATATGCAGCCTCATCTGTAAAGGAGAGAGGAAGGACTCCTCCATGACATTCAAAGATCCTTCTATTCTTGGTACTGAGGTAGGAGATTAAGGCATGGCCAGGCAGATGGGCAAGTGGGCATGACCTGTCAATCACAGAGATCCAGGACACATGACCAGAAAAACACTTCCCAAGGGCTGTACTGGGACCCATCAGAAAACACTACCTTCAATTCTTGGGACATGAGATCAAGCAGGGTTTCATTAGGGCAACCTAAATCTGGTATCATCCCGAGGAGTAGGGGGATGCAAAAGAACTCCAGCATTAACCCCACTGCCACTGTGCTTTTTCTTCAGTGGCCCATTCACCCTGCAGAGTGTAATTCTTTTCCTAGTTTAATTGGCCCCCACTCACTCTGCAGAAGATACAGTATTTCTTTTCCTATGTTTAATAAATGTAAAACCTTGCTATGTATATCACATGAAATGGTGCCTCCAACGTATGTGCGTACTTGCTAAAGGACAAAGAAACAAGGCTAAAACTTAACCTTAGGCTTGATTTCCACCCCCAATCTACAGTACAATAATAACAACTATCTTTCAGGGTTGTTGTAAAATAGGAAATGGTGTTATCCGGAAACCCCTACGATGCCTAACATCCAATGCGTAATCTATAAAAACACTGAGCTATTTAAGGAGAGGTCACCCCAAGCTCATCTAGATAATTAATATAATCATGGAATACTTGCACTATTACTCCGGACCCAATATCATGCAAAGGAAAAAAAAACAAACAGTATTTTATACAACTCCCCTGATGAATGAGAACATTTCCTTTATTCTCCTTTCAGAGTGTACAGAAATTATTCCTCTTGTTGCCCACTGGCAGCCTTACTGGAAAAGGGTCAAGATCAAGGAAATACAATAGGTGTCAGATATCTGTGACCAAAATACAGAAATTAATTCAAAATGAATTTGCAGCCAACATCAATAACCCACGGTCACATAAGACCTTCCCTTTGCCCTTTCAAGAGACGGATGGAATGGAAACATGAAAGAAGCAGCACATCTTTCGGCGGGCTTGCGAAGCAGAATGTGAAAACTCTTCAAAAGCCAGCCCACTCTTATCTTTGCAATTGATGTCTGTCTCAGAGGAGGACCACACCACCTGGAAACAGTGAAGATCAAGCACTGAGGACAAAAAGGATGGGTCAGAGTTCCCCACAGCAGGCACCTGTGAGGCTGTGGATGTGGGGAGCTGTGGGAGGCTGGGAGGAACAAGTCAAAGCACAGTGACAGCTGCTAGTGCGTGTGCCCATCACAGAGCCCCGGAATTGCCTCCCGTTAGGCCAAGGCAGGCTTCTGCATTAGAGAACATTTAACAGTCAATCCAGAAGGCTCTGGAGCAAAATAAAGAGGGGTTCATTAAGAGTGAGCTTCCTCCTCCTCCACCAATATCTGTATGACAATACTCCTATTTCTTGGCTTTCACATTATTTCCTCTCTTCCAGTTCTCCCCACCCTTACTGCACAGGGACAGTCATGGAAACCCATAGAATGGCTCCATCCCCTCAAAATAAAAAGCATCTCCTCCCCACCCTGAAACCGAACATTTATCATTGTCTGTCTCCGTACACACACCTCTGATGAAGAAGGAATCATCAACGTAAATCTCCAGATCATTAACTTATGAGAACCATTCATTGACTTTTTTCTCCCCACTTAATACTGTCAACATTTTATTCTCCTCATGCCGTTTTCAGTAAATTTTTTTTGTCATAAGTAAACTCTTTTGCCCTAACGTTAATTCTTCAATAAAAAGAATCAATCCATTTGACTTAACAGACCTTTAATAAACT